TGAGAATTTCGTTGTGCACGATATTATAAATCTCTGGTATTTTGTTTAAAAATATATTATGGTTATTTTTAAAATATAACTACTTATGGTATAAATTTTCAGTCACTAAAATACGCTACTTATTAAACTAATCTATACATGTATAAAGAGAGAACTTATTTATTAAAAATAGTAACAAAAAAAATTGCATTCTATTTTCCACATTTTATTAATTTTCTTTTTTTTTTTAATTATTCTAAAAAAATCGAGCAGCTATATATGCACTCTAAATTTATGGGTTTTGTAACTATAATTTAGGTCCAAAATTGTCGTAGTCAAGATTCCTATAACAACTTCCTCAAACTCCATCGACCTCATTGTCGTTACAAGAAGTGTGGTAAAAAAGCTAGAATCATCTTCTAAGACAACTCGTTGCGAAGTAGTTGGAAACAATAAGTCGCATCTCACCCATGAATATGATGAAGAACACCTCTGCTTCCTCAACTTCTTGTTCATCATCAAGCTATTTATCAAGTTCAAATATTGCCCAGTTATGACAATCAACGTCTCAACTCTTGAAGCACATATCGCAAGCTTAACGAAGATTATTGAAGGACTCACACGAAGAAGGTCAGGAGCAACAATTTCAAATCTCAAACTAATGGCAAAGTTAAACAATGTTGAACCGATCCGCATGATGGACAAAAAAAATGGAAGTGTTAGAGTAGTATACCCGGCGTTCCAATTTGATTGGACGTATTCTACTTGTAAATACGATCTATTGGAATTATATTATTAATAAGGCATTTCTTTATCTTAAGAGTAAGCATTTATCCTATAATTGCACTTAAGATAAAATCCCTAGATCACATATGGTTATAAGGTATGGTTGCGCATAGAGATGGTGATCATGGAACATACCTTCAAAGCCGTGATCTTAAATATAGTTCCAAGTCGATGGATGTTTCGAAAAGGGATATGGAATAATCCATAAAAGACTTGCACATAGTATGTATACTTGTTTAGACAAGAATGTTGCATTCCATCAACATTAGCGTGGGACGCAAGTACATATATGTGGGTGCTTGTTAGAGAACAAGTTCACTGAACATGACCGTATGAAAATTC